AGAGACTCTCAGAACTCCAGGATCTGTAGAGTTCTGTAAGGCTTCTGGGTACCTCATAAACCAAACAGAGAATGAACCTCTCTTTACACTGTCAATAGGGTCATCAAACTATGGCTTGCTGGCCAAATTTGGTTTACCAGGTGTTATAATGAAAATGTTATGTATAGGAAGAGCGGGCACACTTCCTTGGCTTGTGCATTGGCAATGACCATTTTCACACTACAAAGAAAAGTCACAGTTGAGCTGTTGCTACAGCTCAGCTGGAGCTCAAAGCCAATCATGTTTGCTCTCAGGTTCTCTCAAAAAGGAGTGTGGAGAGCTGGGAAGGTGGCTCACACCTGTAACCCTAACTATTCAGGAGGCTGAGATCTGAGAATCATGGTTCAAAACCAGCCAAGGCAGGAAGGTCCATGAGACTCTTATCTCCAATAAACCACCAGAAAACTGGAAGTGGCGCTGTGGCTCAAGTGGTAGCACTCTCCTTGAGCTGAAGGGCTGAGAGACAGCGCCTGGGCCCAGGATTCAAGCCCCACAACTGACCAAAAAAAAAACAAAAACAAAAACATAAAGAAAGAAAAAGTGTGGGGGCCCTTCTAGTAAAGGAAGGAAAGAAAGGAGAACTTTCCTATCCTTCAAAACTGGGTGTGGTGCATTTTCTTGGTAACCATGAGAGCATGTTAAATAAGTAGACCTCATTTATCTGGTTCTACCAACCCAACATAAATACTCAGTGCCTGATAAGGATTATTAATGTCCCCTAAAAGATACCACATGTCTTGGATTAAGGTTTTCTAGTAGTTCATAGCTGAAGAAGTGTTTTTGAATTACCTGAGAGACATTTCCACACCTAAAGGGCTTGCCAGAAACTGCAGGAACAGAGGGAAGAAAAGCTGCCATTTATAATCCTGGGTTGCAAACCCCTGCCATACAGAGAAGAAACTAGTTACGTACCCATTAGCCACAGGATGACAGACAATGACATGCTCTGCTTCCATTTGCTTAGAGTGGAATGTAGACATGGGCACTATGAAGAAGACAGGAGAGGGGCTGGGAATGTGGCTTAGTGGTAGACTGTTTGCCTAGCATGCATGAAGCCCTGGGATCCATTCCTCAGTCCCACATACACAGAAAAAGCTAGAATGGGAGCTGTGGCTCAAGTGGTAGAGTGCTAGCCTTGAACAAAAGCAGATCAGGGACAGTGCCCAGGCTCTGAGTTCAAGCCCCAGGACTGGCACACACACACAGGAGAAAGATTTCACTGGGTTGCAGTACATGACATGATGATTTGGAAATTATGACTTTAGCCACCTCCAAAGGACTCATGAGATTGGAAACTATGTTATCAAGCACTTAGGGACAAGGAAGTAGCTGTGATTCAGAGTCTACCATGAAAGGAAACACAGGGGGATGCGCATGTGTGCAGTATGCAGCTGGATGCAAGCCTGGCAGTCTCACCCTTCCAACCAGATGCCCGTAGCTGATGACTGTGTGTCAGTCTGTGCCATGGGCATGGCAGAAGACAGTGACACCACAATTCATCTGAGGCATGACTTTCTTCTGCAGGTCACTTAATAGCTGTTAGTAAGTGTTAGGTCTCAGGGCCAGACTTGTGGGGAACCCCTGGTCAGGTCTCCCACTTACTGCAACACACTGAATAAAGAAGCAAACATGGCCAAATACCAATGGCTCATGCCTCGCCATGCTAGCTGCTCAGGAGGCTGAGATTGGAGGATCATGATTCGAAGCCAGCAGGGGCAGGAAAGTCTGTGAGACTTTTTTATCTCCTATTAATCACAGAAAAAGCCAGAAGTGGTACTGTGGCTCAAGTGGTAAAAGCACTAGCCTTGAGCAAAAAGGAGCCTAGGGATAGTGCCCAAACCCAGAGTTCAAGCCCCCCCAGGACCCAGGGGAAAGGAGACTGAGAAAGAGAGAGAGCCAGAGCCAGATAGACAGAGACAGAGACATGGTGAAGGGCAGAGAGAGAGGAAATACATTGCTTGTGCCTGTCTATAGTGGAACAAGGCAAAATAAGTACTTCTAGTCATCTCAGCCACATTTAGATTACAGACATGAGCTTCAGGTTTAAATAGACAAGAAGAATTTGGGGCAGAGGGCAAATGATAGGTAAGAAGCAGTCATGGCCACTGTATGAGCTGGTTGATAATTATAGAGGAGAAATTGTTCTGGCTGTCATCTCTGAAGGAGAGCAATCTGGTGGTGATAAACAAGTTATTGTTGCCTGGTGGGTGGTCTGCCCTGAGGAGCCTCTGATGTTCCTTTCCTTCAAAGGGGGCAGATTCCTCCATTCCTCTTTGTAAAGATAGTAAGGGTCAGTTTTGGTCCTTTTTAGATAACAAGATGATTGGGGGGAGGTGGAAGTTCACAAGAAAGAACACAGACAGAAAACAGACAGAAATGCCAGGCTTTTTTCCTGCTTTTAGTCACTTCGTGGGCTCACATAAGGAGTGGTGCTTTTCAGTAAAAGTAGCTTTAAGCACCTGTTGCCATCCCAGCCTTACGTAAGATGTGGTATTCACTTACCTCAATAGGAGCAAGCTCTTAATGGCCTTCGGGTTTAGGAGACACTGTCAGTGGGAGCTTAAGGTGTTGGCATTGAGGACTTGAGGAAAATACTGGAAAGTGAATAAGCTGGAGCCTTTGGACTGCAGGAATGTGAAGATAGAAAATTTTCCTAATAAAGTAGGTGATCTAGTAGGAGAGGGGAGGGTGAGTGGAGAGAAGGACAGAGGGTGAAGATGCCCAAAATGCTTTATGTATATTTGTGAAAATGGACCAGTGGAGTTGTTGACATTGGTTTGGGAAGAAGGGAGGGGACCCTGGAGGGTGACAGGTTTAGAAGTTGAGTCTGATCAAGGCACATTGCACACTAATATAGACATGTCTGCATGCACCTCCTTTACACAACTCATTGATGCTAACAGAAATGTGGAGAGGGGAATCAAAGGGAAAAATGATCATAACAATGTTATTCAAGAAGTTATAAGCCGGGGTTGGGAAGGTGGCTCAGTGGTAGAGCACTTGCCTTGCATGCATGAGGCCCTAGGTTTGATTCCTCAGCACCACATAAGCAGAAAAAGCTGGAAGTGGCAATGTGGCTCAAGTGGTAGAGCACTAGCCTTGAGCTGAAGAGCTGAGGGACAGCACCCAGGCCCAGAGTTCAGGCCCCACGACCAGACTTGAAAAATAAATAAATAAAAATAAAAATAAAAAAAGAAGTTATAAGCCTATTAAATAAGAAATCAGGCAGGCAGAAATGAAATTGTCATTTTGAGTGAAAGGAAAAGGATTTTACTGATTGTTGTATCATATGGAAAGGAAGTTTAAAGTTTAATTTTATAGATAGATATAGAATATATAGATATATATATAGATATACAGAGAGAGAGAGAGAGATTTCCCCACAAGTAACCAAGCTGTATGTCCACTTTTGTTTTAGGAACAGTTGATACTCCATCTTTGCAAGAAAGAATACAAGCCAGAGAAAATCCTGAAGAGGTATATATATATGGTTTTAAATGTATTCTTCCCTTTTGGCTGAAAGAATTGCCCTTTTTCTTCCCTAGAACAGACTGATTCTTAGAGACAGGAAATATAGTGGTGGTGGCCAACTGGAATGGGGGGAGATTCAAATTATTGTGTAGTAATTATAACTTGTGTGTGTATGAGTGTGTGTGTGTGTGTGTGTGTGTGTGTGTGTGTGTGT